AATGGTCACTGTGAGTCTGAACTGACTCCACGGCACACTACTACCATCACCACCACTTAGTTGAAACAAGGTTGACCATAAGTTGGTTATTATTAAAATTGTGAGATATGAGGGGCCTTCAAAAAATTCATGGAAGAATTATCTTTAATTCCATTTTCCATGAACTTTTTGAAGCCTCATTGTTATATTTATACAGTATTATATCACGTTAAAGGAGTTTTGGTAGCATAGTGCTTATGAATCAGGCTGTAAATCTCAAGGTCAGCAGTTTGAAACTACCAGCTGTTTCGTGGGAGAAAGATGAGGCTTTCTGCCCCCGTAAAGATTTACAGCCTCAGAAACCCTGTACAGGGTTGCTATGAGTCGGAACTGACTCCACGGCACTTAACAAGAACAACATATCACGGTAGTGAAGAAAGCATTTTTTTAAGGTAGTACCATTTGAGCAGTGACCTGGATCCTGGAGAATGAGCCAGCCATGAGAAGATCTGGGGAAGAAATATTGAAGGTAGAGGTAATGGAAAGTGTATAAACCGTGAGGTATGTGTGAGCTGGATGCTTCCAGGAAGAATCAAGAAAGCCAGTATGGTGCTCTGCTAGGTGTACCTCTGCCTCATCTATTGGTCCATGAATTTCACTTCATCAGATCTTTTATTGCTATAATTTATTTTCAGGAAATAGCAATTGTACCCACAAAGTCCAACCACATCCATGCTTTCTGTATCTCCATCAGCACTAGCCAGATGCCACTATCCACTGCTGTACCACTTGATCAACGATAATTAGCTGCCAACATCAGACCCACTCTGGACTGCATTACACAAATAGCAGATAGAGAACTCTTTACACTCACCTGGAGACAGGTGATAAGTGCCTAAGAACACACCGCCATATAGTCATCAATTGTACATAAATGCATCTGCACCACAATGTCTCAGAGTCGACAGTTTACACATACATGAAGAAAAAAGAGTGACTTAAATAATGACCAAAATACAGTCTGAAAATAGATCAGAAATCATATGTAAACTACCTGATAAAGAATTCAAAAGAATGACATTTAGGTACTGTCAACAGATTTAGAGAATGATCAAGAAAACTGCAGATGAAATCAAGGAAAACAGACAAAACTTTAGAAGAATGCAGGAAAACACTACAAGAACAAATTGATAAAATAAATGAGGTTAGAAACCATGTAAAAACAGCAAATAGAAATCTAGAAGAGTAATACTGAGATTTCAAAAATAGAAAAAAACACCAAGTGAAAATAGTGGGTATTAGTATGGAGGAATTGTTTAAAGACTCTTTCCTAGTTTTCTTTCTTTCCAGGATAGATTCGTTCCACACTCATTTGTAGTGAGGACTGTTGACTTCTGTTTGGGAGTGTAGTAGCTGTTAGAGGTTAACTGTTGGGTTTTCTTGAAACCACACAGAACTTGCTGAAGTGGTTTTTCTTCAATGATGAATAAAATCCTTACTGGGTCTCAAGAAAAATTAAAGTAAGTGTAACTCTAACCTTGAAACTAGACTAAGCCGTAGCCTATCCCCTACCTTAACACTAATCTGAGTCCTACATGAAACCCTAGACCTTACCCTAATTCTGACTCCTTACTTCTACACCCCCCCTCCCCCACCAAAAAAAAAAAATGCCAGTGTAACTTGGATGTATTGACTGAGCAGGAGACCATGAGAAAAAAGGTCAGATATATAGACAGGAGACAAATTATATGTAGGACTTTGCAGGGTGTATAAAGGAACTTTTAGTTTATTCTGCATCCATTAAGAGGAACTCTTTGTGGTCCAGCAGTTAAGCTCCTGGCTGCTAACCGAAAGTTAAACCAACCAGCAGGAGAGAGATGTGGCAGTCTGCTTCTGTAAAGATTACAGTCTGGGAAACCCTGTGGGGCAGTTCTGTTTTGTTGTGGAGGTCACTATGAGTCAAAATAGACTTGACAGCAATGACAGCAACAGGCTTGATTTTGAGGGGATATTCATTAAAGCCATTGGATGATTTTAACTTTAGTCAATGGAGTATTATGATCTGATTTTTATTGTTTAAAGAATTCTTTTTTAAAGGAGCGCTGCTGGCACAATGGTTTAGTGCTCAACTCAATGAAAGCTTGGCCGTTTGAACATACCTAACTTCATCAGAAAGACTGGTGATCCCCTCGCATAAAGATGATAACCTAAAAAACCCTGTGGAACTGTTGTGCTCTGTCACATGGATTGCTATGAGTTGGAATCAGCTGAACTCAATGGCACCAGTAATAACACAGTTGTTTGGGGGAGAATGAACTGAAGGGAGCTAAGAGTGGAAGTAGAGAAACTGGTGAATGGATTAGAGACCAAGTCAGAGGAAAGTAATTTAGATTTGTGCTGGAATAAAATGTTAAGGCAGAGGACTAATGTAAACATAAAATGCCACAGGGTGTTTACAGTAGTACATGACACACTTAAAATAAGGGAATTTGGCTTGGGCAGGCAGTGTATTACTATTTTTATTATAAGCCCTGTGATAAATATTTTACATTTTAAATTACTCTGATTACAATAAGGATTAAAACAATAGACATGCCCTTCCAGTAAATTACTCTTAATTGAACTTATCATGCTGTTCAATTAAGTGGACTACATACCGTATTGTTGTCAAGGTCCATCAATTCAGTGCCCACTCATATTGACCCTGTATAGGGTTTCTGATGAGCAGATGGTTGTTCAAATCCACAGGCTTTGTTGTTCAAACTAACCTTGTA